TTATCTTGATTGACTATAGATACATTAAACCCTTCTTATAGTGCAAAATATCATATAAGTTGGCTCACAAGTTACAGAGTAATTTAAAACAAAATAGATAATTTTTTAGTATAATGACTATCATCTCTCCGCTAAAACTATCCGTTTCGTTTTCATTATGAACCATAGCATAAACCATTCTGTCAACGAAAATGTTTTTAGCACCTAACATTTAACAATTTTCTTTACACTTACTTTTTTTTATATTTTGGTTAAAAAGAGAGAGTTAACCGGGAGTACAGTGAAATTATTTGATTTTCTATTGTCTCGTAAAAGATAGATGTAAGAGACAAGTGCATGAATTTAAGAGTAGAAATAACATTATTGTTACATAAAACTAAGTACCTTGTTGAGTTTTTCATTTTTTTTTATATTACTTTTACGTTTTATACAGAAACTATTTCAGTTTTTTTTTTTTTTTGGTACAAAACTATTTCAGTTTTTACAAAAAAAAAAAAGTGAATTTATATATATAATTACTTAAATAATAAATTTTATATATATATATATATATATAATTACAGAGCGTGTTTGATTGTGTTCTTTTTTTTTTATTCTTAAAAATGCTTTGTCGGAATAGTTAATAAAATATGGGTTTTTTATATTTTTTTTAGTTTTAAAAATTAAAAGTCAAAATATAAAACAAAAATAAATCAGATTTGTTCTCTAAATTTGTTTATAAAAAAAAATAGTTACAATTTTTAATTTTTTTTATACAAAACAAGCCTTATAAAGCGATTTTTTTTTTTTTTTTGAAAAATCAAAAAACTGTTTTTCGAAATAGATTTCAAACATGCCCACATTTTCTCTTTTAATATGCATCTCTCAATCCAATCATAAATATATAAGTGTTTAAGTAAAGGAATTAATTACGAAATATTTTGATGTATAATTGATCTGGATAAATATTATACAAATACAAGGGCCCAGAAGTAAAGCCTTCACAATGAAGCAAAGCCTTAGTCCAAGAAGGCTGCAAGCTGCATAATATTGAAGACTCCATGACAGCAAGCTCCACCATAATAAATACATGTTGCTATTTAGCACCAAGGCTATCTTAGCAAGCACCTTAACATTAATGGTTACACGACAAACAGGCTCCTCAATATTAAAGCAAGCTCATTAATATTGAATACCTTATCTGTCTGAATACTTCACTTCCAAGTATGCCTCACCACTTGCAAAGCTGGTCATCCCCCAAGCTGCACATCTCTCCACTATAAATATATGTATCAACACTAAGGTACATCATCTCCTCCTACATAATAGAACTTGTTTGAACCATAACTGACTTGAGCGTCGGAGTGTCTTGCAGGTACACCCCCATCTCGTTCCATAGAAGACCCATGGATTAAAGCTGCTCCAAACTCCAAACTGCAAGATGCTCTGACCCAAGGAGGTTCCAGGCCTTTGTGTAGAGGAAAATCACATGATCGGCCCAATTTTAATAATATCAATAATCAATTATACTATTATAAAGTTCCTAGTAAAAAAATTGCGAACTAGTAATCGTTATAAAAATTAAAATAAATTTATCAATCAACTAATAAAAAATATTTATGACTGGTGTATGTCGTAAAAAAAGTAAATAATAACGTACTTTGAGAGAAGAATTTGAAAATTAAAAAAAAAAAGTTTATTTATAATAAAAAATATTTATTTGGAAACCTTTTAAAATGAGAAGAAATTATCATATTACTTTTTTTTATTTCTTGTTTAATTTTATAAATATTTTACAATTTTATCTTCCTCTTTTTGTCCTATTTAGCATGATTGTTAAAATTTGATTTATCACTACAATTTTATGTTTTTATGATTTTTTTCATCAAAATAATTTTACTAATATTCTAAACACTTTTACGATTTTTTTACATTTCAATTTTACATTTACGATTTTTTAATCTTCTTTCAATTTTACTTAAAATCTCAATTTTAACAACATTGTTATTTAGACTCATACTTCGAACCAGTGTTTTAAAATCTCGCCCCACTCCCGGGTTGACCCGGTCAACCCTGACCTCTCTCCTCTGAGGATTGGGGTCATAAGTTGGACCCTGTATACATATCGACCCCTCCGACCCCCAAAACCCGATCGAGTTTCAGTGACTCTCGAGTCAGAGAGGTCAAAGGGGTCATTGCATGTTTTTGTTTTTGTTTTTAAAAATTCCATGAAACAACATTGTTTTATTAAAAAATAAAATAAAAATGTTTGCAAACCTAAATCTAATCGTTCTCTTCTCTCTTAGTGACCTAAATGTTTTCAATCTTCACCTCGCTGCCGTGAATCTTCTAGAAAAGGTAAGAATTTTACCCATTCAAATGAAATCTTTACGGTCGTCAATGTAAAAAAAAACTCATTCTTACTTCCTTTAAATTTTCCTTTGTCAGAGACCTTCTCAAAAGAGGCAGAACCGGGTCAGCGTAGTGACCCCATTAGAATATGAGTTTTGTACTTTGGTATCTTGATATTTTAATTAGATTGTGTAATATTGACTTGTAATTGGTGAATTATGTTAAGTATATTTTGAATCTTTGATAATTGGTGGTTTGTTTTTTAATATTTTAATATAGAATATATATTTATATTTTTTTAATATATAAAATCAGGTCAGCGTAGTGACTCTGCGACCCCCGATTAAATTCATGATCTCGTGACTCCTAACTTTGACCGAATCGATCACCGGGCCAAATTTTTAAACACTGTTTCACACATATCTTAAAGTGTGACGGCACTGCTAAATTGTTAGATGCGTACTATTCCTATTTTGGGAGGATTTTTTTTGCTACTATTGGATGTTCTTTCCTTCGACCAATTTTTCTTTAAAATAAGTAATCAATTCGTATAAAGTGACACATTACAATTGATAAATATTTTCCTTCATTTGATTTGTACAATTGCAAATTAAAGTGGATTCTGACCTTACTTGCCCAACCTTTTTCAAATGGTGAGGAACCTTCCTTTTGTTTCGCCTTTCCATCAATGGACTACCCATTATGGTTGACGTGTTCTTAAAATTCCATTTTAACTCAGCTCGGTTATACAAGAACAAATAATGTATACTTTTTATAAAAGGTTTATATGTTCTTGACGCATTAAAAATATCAAGGTCATGCATAAATAATGATAAAATAAGTGGTAAGCAAGTAACAAAAAATATAGTAAAACAAGTTTTACCTTAAAAATAATGTCAGACCTCTAGTTGGACTTGGAGTGGATAGTTGTCCAGGTGAATAATTGAGATGTTAAAGTTAGAATTATAATTGTGTTGAGTTTATGCGTTTTTTTTAGATTAAAAAAAAAATTGTATGAAAAGAGCCCCCCATAGTTTAGGACTAGAATTTTTTGATATCTATATATATTCTCACTTTTAGCGATTAGCTTCCAAAGTTTTATTGTGATTTTGGCTGAGATAAAGTCATTTTTTACAATGAAAGAATGTTCACACATCAGCTCTTGTCACCTCTTGAGATTAGTCTGGAAGCTATGCTAGTCTCTATAAGATGATTATTTATGTTGGGACGCTAATTAAGCCAATTTATAAAGGATCATCTCATATCTGCACTATAATAGCTAAACCTCTATGAAACTAAAATGATGATAATCTAATATATTCTAAATCAGAAACGGTGTTAGAAATTCTGTAGATCCAATTGCACCCACAAATTGTGATTTCAATAATGTAATGGAAATAGGAGATAATACATAGTTCTATTGGTTAAATTCAATTAAACAAATAAAGTTTTGGTATGGAATATATATAGAAAAATAGGCAAAAAAAATTTATTTATTGCAATTTAATTAAATAATTACGCAAATATGACATTTTGAGGAGTATTTACAGATCTATTGCACACTGTGATGTCCCTTTTGGGCGTCACATGTAACGCCCCAGTGAGGCGTCTCTCATGAAGGAGAAGACGCCCCAATGGGGCGTCACGTGTGACGCCCAAAAGGGGCGTCTCATGTGCAATGCTATAAATACCCCATTTTTCCCATTTCACTCCTCACTCATTCACCTCTCTCTAACCACGGTTTGTAGCGAAGCTCTGCCGACTTAGGTAAGGTCGTAATACCTCCTATGTATACGTTTAAATTACAGTGCTAGTTAGTAATACATGTTAGGATTGATCGTATATTAGAGACTTAGAACATTAGGATAGTCACTTAAAAATTTTGTGTCATGCTATGAATGTTGTAATGATACTCCCTTTTTTTGTTACGTAGTTATTATTATTAATATTTAATTATGCATTAGGGTTTAGCGTATTAATTAGTGATTTAGAAAATAGTGATAGCGAGATCGTAAATTTTGTATGTATGATGTTATTAATGCGGGAGTTTATTCATAATTTTGTACATATTTACGAAGTTATTAGTGACCTAGGGTTAAGTATTCTGTAAGTATTACATTATTTTTTTCCAATGTTTTTTTATTATTTAATTAAAAATAAATGACGCATATGCTTAAATTTTTTGATAATAAATTATGGCATTGCTTAATTAATTTGTAAATAAAATGGGGCATTACATGTGATTAATTTAAATGTTGTTTTATATGATATAGTTGAGGGTAATGACTGATTCATCATCTTCATCGGGTTCTGCATCGGATGTAGAGCCTACCGATCCCAGCATGTACATCATACATGGGCCGTACATATGGGACGTCCTTCGTAAGAGGACGCAGTGTGCTCATATTTCACAACGAGTGTGGAATACAGAGCATGTCAGGAAAATAAAGACCAGGCGTGGGAAGCCAATGGGGGGCCACCTACCGGCGCTATCCCAGAGGTTGTCGCAGACTACCTGACACAGGCATGATTTATACATGTTGCCCAGATGCGACATATCCATGTATGCAATTTAACTTGTTTTGTATTTATGTAATTATTCAATATCATTTGTTAACACGTTGTAATTGCGTAATTTATCACAAATCGATGCCCCTTTAATTAGTGCTATGGTCGAGAGGTGGAGACCAGAGACACATACTTTCCATATGACCCAAGGTGAGATGACTATCACCTTGCAAGATGTGGCAGGCATATTAGGCTTGCCTACTAACGGGGTTGTCGTCACCGGCTCTACCTCTGAGGATTGGTCCGCTGCTTGTGGGGCTGTATTTGGCGCGGTTCCACAGCCAAATGAGTTCCATCATTCAGGCGATTTGCGTATCTCATACTTAGATCGGTTATATACCCGATGGACCGATCATGTCGGGGATCATGATGCCGAGATCTACTTCACAAAGGCGCACATTGCCAGGATGCTGGGTTCTTGGTTGCTGGCGGACAAGTCTTGAGGCAGCAATTTCGATTGTCGGGGAGAATTTAAATCAACTGGCCTCACCGGTAACGGAACATTCTCGGTTGCGACGATGTCGACATACAACTCCAGAAAATCTGTCCTTGACTAGTTGGAAATTTCTTCCATTGTCATCTCCAGGTCTTCATTGTCAACCACTTGCAAACTAATGTATTTATCACATTGCCATAACCTTGTCGTGATCTGAGTGATACATTGGTTGCCTTGAAGACTTAACTTCTGCCGAATTCTCTGATGCAGTTCGCCAATGGTTGCGTTGCGTTGGATGCGTGTCGGCCTTTTTTCACCTTCAAACATGACACCTCGTTGACCTTCTACCTTTCTACCATTGTAATATAACACAACACGAACAGATTCAGGACGGGAACTCATTCTAAAATAGAATAAGAAATAAAATTCAAATACTAAATTAAAGAGAAGAGTGAGAGAAGAGGTGTGAAGAGTGAATAGAGGGGTGGAGGATTATATAGGGTGCACAATGTGACGCCACGCGTTACATGTGACGCCCAAAAGTGACGTCACATTTTGCAGTACATTTGTATTTATTCTTCAAACTGTCATAAATGCATAATTATTTAATTAAATTATAATAAATAATTTTTTTTTGCCTAGAAAAATACTACACATCCAGAATATCATTGTATAAGAGCTAATTGGATAAGACTCGTTTTGGGGTCCACCCTTTTTAAAACTATCCTGGCTTTTGTAGGGTCATTTTATGCAACAATCTCATTAACGGTACCCTAGATATTAAATTACGGGATTCTATTTTTCATTGGATTACAAAGTTTTCTAACTACTTCCACATATACGGCTTATATATATATATATATATATATATATATATATATATATATATATATATAGGGCTTCTCTTTTCTCATGTCACATGAGATATCATCTCTCATGTCATAGACACAATAAGTGGTGGGGCCCATCACTTATTAAAAAAGAAGAAAAAACTAAAAAGATAGCACGAATTTCGATGTCTCACAACATGAAAAAACTATCTCCTATTACATAAGAAAATGATTTCCCATATATATAGAGGATTGATTCGTTTACAAATATTTTTTACAAATTTTTGTAAATTATATTGTGTACTCTCGGGAGAACACTAGGTTACACTAAGTATGAAATATATATATGAGAAAGATCCGTTTATAAATTTTTTTACAAAATTTTACAAATTATACTCTGTACTTTCAGGAGAACATAGTGTAACTTAGTGTTCTTCCGAGAGAACATAGTGTAGTTTGAAAATAAAAAGTTTATAAATATATATATATATATACGGAAATTATCATTTACAAACTTTTTTTACAAATTTTTACAAATTACAATATACTCCCAGGAGAACATAGTGTTTTCTTAGAAGAATATAGTGTAATTTGTAAACAAAATTTTTGTAAATATAATCTTCTTATATATATATATATATATATATATATATATATATATATATATATATATATATATATTATAAAATGTTCTTTAGGCCTTGGGAATAGAAGGATAAGGTACCGGATAGGAATATAAAATAATAATAATAATAATAAAGTTAGAAGTAAATGACAAGGGCATGGTATGGTTTTACTATTAATTATTTCGATCCTTTCAACGGGACATTTATACTTTTTATAGTGTTCCATTCCGTAATTTTATAATAACGAGTATAGTTATTAGTTTGCAAAGTAATAATTTATTACACCAAACAATATGATTAAAATAATATAGATGACTTGTTTTCCCTTTCATAATACCGTTTGATAAGTGAAATTTTAACCTCTTAAAGTATAATTAAGTGATGGAGGTGAAAATATTTTTTATTAATATTTTTTCTATACATGTAAATCTCGAATCAAACACAAGCTTGCGTGTTTAAAATTTGTCTAATTTTCAAAATAATAATTGTCTTTTTTTTTCTTTACTGTACCGGGACTACCGACACATATTTATCTTCTTTTTTTAGTAAATATACCGACACATATTTTAATAACAATGATATTTCATTCTCAGAAAGGCCAACAGAAGAAAAGATAAATGAAGAAATGCAATAAAATATGAAATTGGAATCAAATTGCAATAATGAGTCGGTGGATAAGACACTGACCCCTTCTTTCTTTCTTTTTACTTCCCCAATATACCCATCCCCAATTTCGTGAATCAGTATTTGCACTATTATGTATTTGCCCTGGTTAAACTATACGTATTTGCCCTGTTCAAATTTTAAATTGTTCTAACAATTCAGTTACATAAAATTAATGACAATTGCCCAAAACCGCATAATCATATCAGTTTTGGAAAAACCGGTCTTCCCCTAACAAATTTGAACTTAATTGAGTCAAATATATGAATTGTCGTCATTCTTTTGAGAAATGTTATATTTATAATCTACTTTTTATTTATAATTATATCTTAATCGTTGTTTTTTTTCAATCAACGATTATTATTTATTGTAAATTAATAATTAATTAATAATTTTAATTTATAAAAATAATAACCGTTGGTTGACGAAAATTAACACTTAAGATATGGTTATAAAAAATTGTAAAATAAATAGATTATAAATATAATCTTCCTCAATTTTCAATGAATAATTTTGTAGAGGTTATGTGGACCAAAATTTAAAATAAAAAAATAAGCAAATAAGAATTATTGTTTAACTCTTATGCTTATTTTTGTAGTCAACAAAAAACAAATGATTGAAAATCTTTATTTTATAAAATAGACTTGTGTTTAATTTATGCTGGTTCCATTACCTTTATAAAAAATAAGAAAGGTTATCTTTATAATCTATTTTTGTTTACAATCTCTTATAATTTTATTTTAACTATTGATTTCTATCAATCAATAATTATTATTTTCACAAATCATTAATTAATTAATAAGATTAAATTTCCAAAATAATAATCGTTGATTGATGAAAATCAACAGTTAAGATATAGTTGTAAGAGGTTGTAAGTATAACATTTCTCTATATAAATATAAGGTTTTATTAATCTCAATTTAAATGAAATAAGTTATCTCATGTCATAGAGACAAACTTGTGAGCTCCACCACTTGAAAAAATAAAAAATAAATAAAAGAAAAAGATGACACTGTTATCGAATGATGTGTAAGAGGAAAATCTTATCTCATGTAGCATGAGAATAGTTTTTCTCATCAATATATGAGAAAAATATTTGTGCTTTTAAAGGATATAACTTTATGTCATTTTAAATCTCAACGGTTGAGATCCATCAATCAACGGTTAAAGTTTATTGGGACAAAATTATTTATTAATTATTAATTCATAATAAAATCTAATAAATTCTAACCGTTAATTTACGAAAACCAATAATTAAAATTTAAAATAATACAAATTTATATCTTTTGAAAGTAGAAACATTTTTCGTGTATATAAATATATTTATTTATGGTTGAACAACTTTTTTTTCTTTATGGTGGTTTTACAACTTTGCATAACAAAACATTAAGGTTATTTTCGTCCACTAAAAATATTCTCTCACACAAAACATAAAGATAATAGGATAAAAACATTGCTTTGGCGTGAAAGTGAAGGAAGATAGAGAGAGAATAAAAAGAAAAAGAAAAAGAAAAAGGTCAAAGGTAACGCTGAGGGAGGAACAGTTTGTTCCGAAGTCACTCTCTCTTTGCAAACTCCGAGGAGTTTTCATATGATCATCCGCGATATTTTCGACTTCAGTTTCAGTTTTTTTAACGTTTAATTTCACAGAGAGCTTGAGAGAGATACGTGTTTTTCTGTTTGTGTCAGCAAGTGCTTCTCCTTTGTCATCTTCTCTCTCTTTCTCTGCTATTAATTTCTGGGAAAATGCTGGTTCGAAGGAAAGTGATGAGCTGGAGAAGAGTGGCCAAATCCCTCCAAGCTCTGATAGCTCATACCTTGCTCTTCTCCTTCACTCTTTTGCTTGCTCTCAAGGTTGACCGTATCGTCCATTGCGCATGGTGGTCAGTTTTTTTTTTTTTTAACTCTTTCTTCTTTTACCTTCTTTTTGATTACCCAATTCATAAAAAGTAGAAGTGAATCAAAGGGTGAGAAAAAAAATTTAGCTTTGTATGATTCTTCTTTTGATTGACCATATCTAGCTTCATCCTAAAGTTGTGATTTACCGTGTGGTAGACAAGGTCCTCTGCTAATTTGTTTCCCCCCTTTTGTTGTTCAATGCATGCGTGGATTATTATTATTATTATTTATCAATTTTTGTAATTTTGGAAGAAAAATGGCATTCATTGAGGAGAACATGACTAGATTTTTTTTTTTCAGTTTTAGAAAATTAACTTACTTCCCTTGTATGCTTTGTATTTTGTTGCGTTAATATGTTTATTATTATTTAGTTTTCTTTTTATTCCTTTGGAAATGGGATGTTATACCTTCGAATTTGAGTTCTTGTTTGCTGCTTTCCCTTTGTGACTCTTTTTTTTTTTTTTTTAACTTGTTTTTGTAGACTCATATGCTTTTATGTTGTCTGCCCAAACGAAAGTTAAAGAGAGAATCTATTTGTTTCATTGGGGAATGAAAATTTAATACATTTACTAAAATTGTGAAATCTGATGTATATATAAGCTCAATTACTGTCCAGTGATATGGTATTATGGTCTAATAATATTTGTACTGGCCAACTAGTGTTGGTTCAGCTAGTAAGAATGGAAGTACTTCACTTTTAAGGCTTAGGTTCGATTTCCACCGTATGTCCTGGACCTTGGTGGTATGGGTACCCTCCTCTCCCCCTTTAACCGTGTTATGTGTACGGAAAGAAAGTTTTTTCGACTGCAATAGTGCAATGCAAATCATAATAAGGCTTCCAAACCCTAATAATATTCATTGCCTCACTAATTAATCACAACTCTAGCTGGTACTGCTCTCAACCAAATTATACAACTGAGAATAATCATCAAAGGATTCGGAATTGTCAATGGTTGTGAACATGAAATGACTAGTCTTGTGATGCGTGTATATGCTTATGAGTACATGAGCCTAAAGGATTGTATTCCAAGAAAGTTTAACTCAGCCATAAGATTGTGGTATTTCTTTTTTCATTATATAGCATCCTGATGAGATCTTGTACCATATGATTCAAACCAACAGCAATACTGTTGTCAAGTTTGTTACGCTCAAGAATATGTATGGGTGTGTGTCATTTTCATGTTGATGTACTGCCTATTTATGTTATGCTGAACAGTAAAGTAGACATAAACGATTGATCATTCCATGTAAATCAGGGGCAAGTCCTTCAAATTGTTTCTTAAAATGTCATTGAGAGATGGAGTGTGGGTAGCATATCTTAGGTTGTAGATTACAAAGTAGAAATAGATTAAGCTGAAACATACTCTTCCCATTTTTATTTATATCATAACTTGTATCTTTCTTTTTGGCAGGATTGTATTTTTTCCTCTATGGCTTTTTCATGCTGTGCTAGCACGAGGCAGGTTTTCCTTGCCTGCTCCTTCAATGCCTCATGATCGCCAAGTAAGATACACTTCTTGGAAATATCTTCCCTGTATTGTGGAAAATAGAAATGTGTCCTGTAGTAGGTTTTTGTTACTGAAGTAAAAATAAATTGTGTATGGGCAGTGGGCTCCTTGTCATTCAGTCATAGCAACACCATTACTTGTTGCATTCGAGCTACTTCTTTGTATACATCTCGGGAGCGGTTATGGTAGGCAACATTTCTTGTGGCACAACCACCATAGATGTTATTGACCTCTGTATCTTCTCATCAAGATAACTGTGGTACTTTTATAAGTTATAGATTGTATATGCTATCAATGTAAATAATTATTCATTGTAATGATGCAGTGGTGAATTTAAGGATAGTCTTCTTGCCCCTGATAGCTTTTGAACTAGTGATTTTGATTGATAATATCAGGTAAATATCTTGTTCCATTTAGAAGCTTACCAAAATTTATATTCTTATAGTTCATAAGGATCTTGCACTTATATTTCAACCCATTCATAGTCTTCCATCTTCTGTAATAACAGCTGGAACTGTCTTAAAAAAATTGGCAACAGAATTGCCACAAACATTCAACATTTTCAATTGATTTATAAAGTAGCATGCATTTTTGGGTCTGCTTTCAACTTTGATAGTTGAGAAGTGTCGTATCTGCCCTCCTATCAAATGGATGCGTTATTGACAAAAATGTCTTTTCATAGGATGTGTAGGGCTTTGATGCCTGGCGATGATGAACATTTAACCGATGAAGCAGTATGGGAAACTCTTCCTGTAAGATACTATTCATCAGTTGATTAATTAATTGATTAGTGATATGCTCTGAAAAAGAATAAAGTACGGTCCCTCGGTGATGCTACTGAAATACGCACCTAATGTCCTCTATACTGACATCTGCTTAGCAATTAAAAGTACTAAATTTTGATGGTTTTTAAGTAACATTCGTTCAGATCCTTAGTGAATTTTATAGTGTTACTGTAGGGATGTGGAATGTCAAACTGCAATAAAATTGTGATTAAATCCATAATTATAAGCCCTCGATGTTTATGGATCTGAATTGATACTTATTCTGGGTTAAAATGCAGTAGAGATTGAAATTTCAGTCTCTTTGTTTTCGCTTGATGAGTTGATGGTGAGAAAAACCCCTCAAGAATTATGAGATATAAAGAAACTGTAACTTTCCTTTTTGTTTTATTTTTGTCCTTGTTTTGCACCGTATTGACAATTATTCCTTTTATGTGTCAACTGTGACTTGCCGACTTTAATGATTCATTTGATTGTGTGTTGTGGTTGACATCATTGGACATCTTTCTGGGCTTGCATTTCGTTGTCGGACCAATGTTTTAGTTGAATACTATTTCATATTTCGTTCTTATGGATAGCTGGATGTGGTCTGATTTAGAAATGTGCTATAGCCCGTGTTCTCTCTCTCTGTGTGTTGCATGCATGGCCTGGATTTTGATGGGTGTTTTATAATCTTTGTGTGTCTATGTTATGGAAGAATGCTACATGGTCAAAATGTTATTGGAACTTATACAATGCACTGTACATTCTACCATGGGGCTCTTTATATTTTAACCTCAGGAAGTAAATCTTGGAAGCAATTGAACTTCACCATTGGAATATATTTGTTGTTATTAAGTCTTGGTGTCTTTATACTTTAACATAAGAGTTGGGCAGCACTCTGGGTGAGGTATGAAACCTTATCCATGTTTGTTTTCTCAATCTCATAACAATGTCAATGATTGTTTCTAGGCACAAGGAGTCTTACAACTATCAATTGCATATCTCATCTTGTGTGTCAACAGTTGTTATATTTAACCTTTTTATGCCTTGTGTAAATTGATAGTGCTGATCTCTGTGCAATGTGTATGATAGTTTCATTGCATTGAGGTGGTCATGTTATTTGTGTGCTTGCTCCATATTTCATTTCTCCTTCCTACAAGTGATGATGTGTTGGGAGGGAAAGGAGGATTGATCATACTCTGTGGTCAAAACCTTTTGTTCTCATCATAATAATTGACATTGCCTTATTCAAAACTTGTCTACTCCAAAGAGAATTTTTTTAAGTGTTTTACTCGGTAGATTCTCTGATAGCTCAATACTAAATTGTGTTACTTCTGTTTTCTAGCACTTCTGGATTTCGATATCCATGGTCTTCTTCATTGCTGCTACAGTGTTCACCCTTTTAAAGTTATGTGGTAAGTTTTAATTTTCTCTTGAAAACAATTGTTGATTGTGTAATTAACTTCTATCCTGTCTAATTTCATTGTTAACTTAGAGCTGCTTGGTACTGGGAAATATAACTTTGCAGACTTCATTCCCCACTTTTTCTTGACCTCTCTACATCTATTTTGTTTGTGATGCTGGTTAATTTTCTACAACATTTGAATGATTTATGAAACTGACTCTGTTTTTAAATATACTGTTATTAGCTGTCTGTAATACACTGTTCTCTGGCCTTGACAACTTTGTTATTTATTTAATGAAGAACGTAGGAAACTTTTAATTGGGATTTTAATTTGGATTTAAAGTGTTCTTAAATTAAAATTCAATAAAAGTTCTCAATTAATTTTGCAAGTTACAGATTTAATTCCCTATTTGGTTAGAATTTACCTGCTGTAGTTAACTTCTTTCGTATATTATGATTATTTTTCCATTTTGAGGAAGGAGAAGGAAGGGAGTTTTAAATAGTCAGTCTTGTCAAATAGTTATAGTTACATACTTACATTGGCATTGTGATCAAGAAATATCGTGAGTTCATTTTCTTTATATTTAAACTAGATAAAGCTTTATTTGCTCCCTGCCTTCTAACAATAATTGCAAAAGGATGAAACAATTTACAACACAGGTTGAAGTTATTTGACATGGTTGACCATTAAGAAATCAGTCTTCAATATTTTGAAAATCTACTAACATCTGCATCACGATATAAGATGTGCATGTCCTGAGTTGTCTAATCGGAACCCCTTGTTAATATGATGAAAAACATAGGTAAAAGTATCTCGTAGTGCTACTTAGTGTCTGTTTAGGAATTATGAATTGGGACTTTGGGAAATGGCATATTTAGTTATTTCATGTAAAGTGAACGGGGATGAGATGTCATTAATAATTTTTAAAGAACCCTTTTGATTAAGCTAAGTATTAATAATTATTCCTGTAATGATTTTGCAATCTCCATCTGATTTGCTTATGGTATGATTTCATGCTGTTATGTGTTGCTTTGATTGCATTCTTTGCAAAACTCACTGTTTATCTGGGACAGGTATACATTCATTAAACTTTTTGTTACTAACTTTCTTTCAATTACGTGCAGGTGATGTTAGTGCTCTGGGCTGGTGGGACTTATTTATTAACTACGGGTATAATTAATATCTCTTGGTAGACTGTTAAGTATTTGGCATTAGTCTTGTGCCTTTTCCTTCATAAAATCCTTGTATCATTTTGCAGGGTTGGACAGTGCTTTGCATTTCTTGTTTGTACAAAGTGGCACAATCCAACAATTCATGGAAACTGTCACATTACGGCACCATGTTCATCATCATCAAATACCATAATATACATGGACGGGAATAGAGGAGGCTTAGTTGTTTCCTCAGATGAAGATATGCAACAATATGGGTTCTGCAGTCTGCAGGACATTGGTGGGCATATTATGAAAATTCCATTCGTTGGTTTTCAAATACTTCTTTTTATGCATTTAGAGGTATGGTAGACGCCTAACCAAAGCCTGTCATTATGTTCTCAGAATTTGTAGGTTTCTTCATTTTTTGATTTTCTTTTTTCCTTTTTTTATGGTTCAAATTTTAGGGAACACCATCTGGTGCAAAAAAAATACCAAACTGGGTCATTTTTTGCCCCCTTTATTTGTTGCAAGGAGCTGGGGTTTTATTTGCAGCATATAGATTAATAGAGAAGATAGTTCTTTTACTCTACAGTGGAGATATTCCTAGAGGATACTCAGCTACGGCATCAAAATCCCGTGACTGCTTTGGGTTCTTGCATCATGGATCAAGGTATCAGTTTCGATCTGATTGGCTTGAAAAGGAATTTATCTTTGGTAGATTCACTACTGAACTTAGAAAAAATGAAAAAGTTGCTGAGCTGTCATTGAGAATTTGTCATTGGCTGCACTTTCCCTTTTAACAGGTTGCTAGGTTGGTGGTCAATAGATGAAGGGAGTAGAGAGGAAGAAGCTAGACTTTATTGTGCTGGGAGTTCTGGGTCAGTACTCTACCCTACATTAGGCCTTTATATGGCATATTTTCAGTGTTGTAAGCCATTTTCCCCTTTGCTTAATAGCTTTTTAATCCAAAAACCTAGTGAGCACTTACATATCCTTTTCTTGAAAGTCTCAAGTTCTGTAGTGTAACAATTCTTTTTTCTAAAATTAGCAAATCTTTCTCAGCGTTCTGTCTCAAAACTTAAATAGAATTGTGCAGATCTTATTTAATTCTGGTTTATTGGTGATGGTTATAATTATGTCATGTTGACAATTGGAGTGTGCTTGGAATATGGTGTGCTTTGTTCTCTCTCTTTAGGCTCTCAAAGTGGTTCTTGTGACATTAAGTATTTGCACCTTGTGTAATTGCTATTTTAAAGAATATATAATTTTAATCAAACTTCTCTCTGATGATATGAATTTGGTTTACTATTTAGGTATAATACTTTCTCCCCTGATACGGTGAAGAAAATGCCTAGAGCAGATCTCGTTGAGGAGGTGAAGACATTGTTTCCTTATATTAAAATATGTAGTTACTGCATTGTTTCTTATGTCATAGTTTCCTTATTTAAGAATGAATTAGTTAAACCAATTACATTGGCAGGTTTAATCTTTTCATACATTTCAATAATCACAGTTATTTGCAATTCACAGATTTGGAGACTTCAAGCTGCACTGGGTGAGCAGACAGAAGTTACAAAATGTACACAGGAGGAATATGAAAGGCTTCAAAATGTAGTATTCTCAACCTTGATTGATTATTTTCTGCATTATGAATATGTGAATAAGTCTTGGTTGTATGAGTGGGTATTAGTACATTATCTACTTTTTATCAAGCATCATTATCTTCAGTTTCGTTGGTCAATTGGGACCTGCTTGAATACGTGCCTTTTTTTCCTTTTGGTTGGGAAGGGGGTAGGGTTGATTTCACACAATTCACTTTGAAACTTATTTGAACCGAGCAGATAAAAAATTTAAATTAGTAGTGTCTGTTTTTGTTTTTGTGGCAATCAAACTTGTGATTGATTTATACGTTCCTTAGCCTTTAATTTCATGATTTATTTGTAGAGGTAGTCGTTAACATCACAATTGTTGTTTTATTTTATTGAGAAGTTTAATTTAATGTGCTCATTACCTGACTACAAAAGAAAAGTATTAAAGAAAGAGGGAAAAAGGGGAAATAAAAGAAAAAGGGGCCAAGGGGATGGAGGTGCAAAATCTGAGCGGAGTTGTTACTGATTTTATATTTTAATGAACTCTATAAATTTAAGTCATGTTTCTCTTATAATCTACGTCTCTTCTCAGTCCTCGATTAATTGCCTTCTTTTTACAATATGATAGAAGTAAATCATTTAATAGAGTAAGACAACAATTGTCTCAATTCAAATTTTGCTATATATATTATCCCCTACTAAAGCAAGGAAAAATGTGTTACATTTGTTCTTAAAGGGATCAGTACCCACAATGTTATTTATTGGGTATGTATGTATGTTTGAAGGCATACTTGGTAGTACTACAAAATAAATTTGTAAGGGTTGTCATTATGAATTATGCAGGCTTTGTTACCCTTTTGCAATCAAAAGTGTTTTATATATTCATGCCCAAGCATTCTTGTTATCAGTTAGTAGGTTATTTTTGTTCATTGTTTGTGCTTGAATGACTGACAGTCAACCATATCAGGATCTAACACTATTCAAATTGATTGATAAACCTATCAGGAGAAGATCTTATGTAGAGTTTGCTTCGAACAGCAGATTAATGTGGTCCTACTTCCCTGCAGGCATCACATTCTTTGCAGGTAAGAGCTCTTGCAATTCTCCAGTGTAATACTCTTCTGTCACTATCCCATTAACATAACGTATTTACTTTTTCTAACCCAAGCCCATAAAAAAGGAGTTCTTATGTATGCTATGCGTAAATAAGTATTAGTATTACTACTCTCCTATTCTTCTCTAAAACAATTATGTAACACATAAGCAAGAATAAAGTTGCAATATTGCCTTTTAATAAGAAAATTTCCAGCAGTTTTCAGCTTTTGTAAAGAATCTATTTATTAAATTGCTTGCCACTGTTGTTATTAGAGTGTAACACAAATATCTTATCAGGGACTTATGTTTAAAGATATTGATTATTTCTTCTTCTATTTTTTCCCCTCCTTTTGAATCGTAATGTGGATGACAGCACTTGCTGCGAAAAATGTAAAAAGTGCCCTGTCTGCCGTTGCACCATTGAAGATCGGATGCCTGTATATGATGTGTAGACTGAGTTCAAAGAAGATGTATAGATAACTTACTGACCATCTAGCTTGTGGTTTTAGATGAGGCAAGCACTGAGGATTACCAATTTCTTTGCTTATAGATATGATGAACATCACATGTGGTTGTTTATAATTTTAAACATTCAATGTAAGTACTATAAGTCCCCCCTCATCCCCTATAGTGCATTCTTGCAATTCCTTCTTGTTCGGAGTGGAAGCTTACCTTCTCCATTACTAGTAGGTGCATTGTCGTCTTGAGTTTTTGTACCTACACAAAAATGCAAGATGATTACTGAACTCCATATGATCTAAGAATACCATGCAGTTAAGGACCCATATGGCCATATCCATGCTGGGACTTATCATTGACGCATGTTTGTGGTGGGGTTCACTCTGAATCCCACAACTTTAGGGCTATTTTTACAACTCTTTAAGGTTAGCAACCACTTAGGAGCTTATTCCTACTAATCCAAGATTTTGAGTTCGAGTGTTGGGAATGGAGAAAAATAATCTTGGGAGAGTTGTCTCCTATAATGGATCTGATAGTGCTATTCAAACCAGATTAATCAGGTAATTGATGAATTAGTTGACATATCCAAAAAAGAAAATAACAAGTTGTCTAACACAACTAATAGCGTAGACTAAATTTTAACAAAAAGTTTATGGATAAGTGTAGTTGTGGGACATGCGCTCTTTAAGATGACCTGCAACTGGAAATATTTCCTGTATTTTAGGTTTAACACCCGGAAGGGATAAAAAAAACTAAATACTAAAATAAATACCCGTAATAGTCAAACAAAACTTGTGGAATGTCTGTTTTAGATTGCAGCCATTCATTTCTGAGTACGTTAAACATCCTTTTCTACAAGGTAGTTTGTCGTCAGCAATCAACTCGAATTGTAAAGAACTGGGCCCTGAAAGATACTTGCAACTGCTACTGGATTATTATTTTGATGAATTATTCAATTCTTCAAAAGCTTAATATATGTTGTGTGGAGATTGATTATCCTTATTTTTGTATTTGGTCACTTTAAAATGATATTGTTTTTGTAAGTTTTAAGGGGATCTATAGTCCAATGATTTATGCTGATGAATAGTAAATCTAAAAGTGCAGCACAATTACATGAAGATTTTACACCAAAACTAAGTAAAAAGAATTTTACGCAGCTCATAACGTACTTAAGGTAAAATGCGATAAAATACATTAGATAACATGGTTTATACTTAAGGTGACAGACAGTATTCGAAGTAGCATCAAGAAGGAAGGTTCATATCTCATAACTCAGCTGAATTTCTACCTTACCAAAAATCTAGTAATTGTTAACAACGAATTTAGAACATTTTTGAGGTGACTCTTCACGACAGGAAGCTGTCATTTTCACTGCTTCCACTACAGGCTTTGTGTTGGTAACTAAATTTTCCCCTTTATGAATGTTCTCATTGATCACGGGAACAAAGTCCTCGAAGCAATCCTCCAAGCTCCTAAATGCTTCATCAGGATAGAGAGTGCTAATCTCAACGTCACGAAGTTCATCTATGTTGAAGTTAACTTGACAACCTTTGATGAAGATATCATGGGTAAAAGATGCTACAATACTTTCTGGTATACAATTTTCTGCATTTGCATGTATCAAAAGTAATGGTCATGCAGTGAGGAATACTATTTATTAATTATAACATATGTTGCACCGACACGGGATATAAGACACGATACGACACGACACGATACGGCACGTCAATTCTAAATGTTAGATTTCGATTAGGACATGTTTTGATATAGAGAATAAACTCTTTATTTATATCATGATATTTGAAGCAAGTGTCACACGGTCAGGATTTTTGAAGCGTCGGTACATCATAGATTATAACAACAAAAATCATAAAACTTGGTCAAACTCTTTGAGAAATGAAAAAAGGTGGCAGTGAAGTATGATTGAACCTGCAGCTACTGCTAGAAGATCTTCTTCTGAGATGGTCACTCTGGGGATTGAACGACCAATTTTCTTTTCCCATAAAGAAGCAAGCTCATTCATGCTATAACAGTTGCTTGAGGGTCGAAAATGAACATTTTTGTTGAGTGTTCTCACATCATCAACCACCTTCATTGTGAACTTTCCAATATCAATGCCATCAACAAAGTAAGCTGCACATACAAAAATAAACTCTTCACAGCCTATTTGTTCAATGAATATTTGATTCCAAGAATAGAACAATTTTGTTTAATAGATGTAAGGACATATAGTTGTTTACTTATTATATACCTTTGACAGTGCCATTACCATATATCTGCAAGTGATCCAAGGGTGGAGGAAGCTGTGTTGGATGACAATTGTCATAGTAGGGCCAAGAAGCAATGGAATTGCAACATATATTGGTGTATGGGACCCCAGATTCCTCAACCACACGCCTAACCAAACGCTTCATTTTGTACATTGTTAAACCTGGTTCCACAGGATCTGCCCTGTCCACATCATGCCCAAACTCTGAAGGCAAAAACCTCTGTCACATTACATTATAACACGTCAAAATTCTACTAATAAACATTGAACATCAATAATATTTGGTTTTGTTTGTTACCAAAATAAATAAATAAAAGGGTCTCTCCATCGTCCAACTAGTCCGCTTAGAGCAATAACACTGTTGAGATATATAAAATCATTAATGTAGCCTCACCCAATAGCTTAAGCTTTTGGGTTGAATTGGTTCTTTACATGGTATCACAGCCTTAGTGTACCGGGTTCTATCCTCGCCGCCACCACTTTCTTTCTAGTGGAATTTCTTTCTTCGCACAAGTAGGTGGGCATGTGCATTGTCCACCCTTCAAGCCCAATGGGCTCTCGTGTGAGGAGGCGTGTTGAGATATATAAAATCATTAATGTAATCTCACCCAATAGCTTAAGATTAAGCATTGAAAATATTCTCCCTTTTATGGTAAAGAAAATAATTATTATAGCAAAGTTGAGTATTTCAAATTGGTTTAGAAAGTTCAAGTTTATCATATTGAGATGACACAATCTGAGGAGATTGTTCCCTTTTAAGTTCAAATTCTAAGTATACAGCTATATTAAAAGTTTGGTATCAGGTGAAAAAAATACCAAAAATATTCTCGGTGAAAAGAAAATGAAGTCAATAAGGGCCACGGAAATCCATGAAAATTAGATTGACGGGCACAGGCTTTTGGGCTTGTTATCTATCCAATACATTGATTTGAAACAATACATAGATTTCATGAGATAATCGCACGGCAAAGCACATAAAAAGGGGGAAATCTACAATGCTACCAATTTATTTTCACTAAAATATGTAGGCGAATTCTGGGGTCCTAAAAATCTCATAAGGGGTGTTGTCAGAAACCACCACATACACAGTTGTAATCAGTTAAAATCTCATTCGACTGACTGGTGTAATTTATTAAACCAACCGATCATCATTTAAAAAAAAAAAAAAAAAAAAGACTAATTTTTTAACATGTCATTACTATTTTATATTTCATACTATTTCGTATAAATTATTTCTACAACATCATTCAGTTCCAATAACTGGTTTAAATAGTTGACCCAGTTTTAACAATTATATACAAGTTAAACTTATTTCATATATTTGTAACTTTTAAAATGGTCTATAAAAAAAGTACCTCACAATTTCAAAAGTAACTTTACCATTATAATTGAAAATTCATCAACATAAATTAACAACTGTTACCGCAAAGAAAAGTAAAATGAGTTCAAAAACAATAGCGAGAGTTATAGGTATAAACTTTTAACTGTCCTTTTCTTTAAGTTTCAGCTGTATAAAATCTTTGGGAGGTTTTATCAAAAACTGATGCTATTCATTATGAGCGGATTTCTTACAAAACCGTTTACAAATAGCTAATGCACTTGTCACTGGTTTCAACAGTTGCAATATAATAAAGAAAAAAACAATTACCTACAAAATCATATACACTCAATCTATTATTTATTTTTAGTGTGTTACTCCACTAGGAAAATGAGAAATATAAAAAAGAGTAAAATGAGAAATTTACCATTAAATAAATTTAAAAAAGAGTAAAACTGTACCTTAATAGTCTTAACAGATTTCATGGCCTCCACCAATGGAAGCTGATCCATCAAGCTCTTACCCCCGACAGCAGAAACGACTATGTCTATTTCATACTCTTTCAAAATCTTCTGCATGAAGTCCTTATTCTCTATCACACCCTGCCATAAAATACAACACAACTAATTATGTATGAAAACTGTTCGTGATCCCAGCCCCATGCCATAAATGTTGCATAAATAGGTAGTTGTGAAAAATAATATAAAATCTATGCAAACAAAATATTGACGGTGATTTAACGATGTTAGATCAGTTGCTGCGAGAGAGTTGAATGGATAAAGAGGGATTTCGATTCAATCAGAGGAGTAGAAAACTTTAATTTTCATGGAGATATCTGAAGAACCTACTCGTCTCAAAGAAATCCATTCCACCTTCGAAATTAGTCTCATAGGCTTAAAAAGTCAAAACTAGTAAAAATATCCGATGAACCTACTCGAGAGATAATTAAGGATTGGTGTAAAAAAAAATATTGATGTTTTGTCAAATGTGAAAATGAAGTAGTGGTCCTAGTGGAAATGAGAATAGTCCACGTATATGGTCTAGGCTATTCTTGATGTTGTACACAAGATGTGACAACATATTTATATTTTCTTTAAATAACTTGAAGTTCTAAATTTGCACAATAAAAAATTTTAATCTATGCATATATTATCACGAATAGGATCTATTATTAATAACAAAGAGTAGTGTTATCATAGAAAAATATGGTGTATACCCAAAAGGAAAGTTTTGGATACAACTTACGTGAACGACTATGGCACCTTTCTCTTGGAAGGTTTTGATAATGGTAACCTTGGAAGGGATGGTAGTTTCTGGCCTGACGAGCAAATAGGTAGGGTGTGATGTGGCGAGGCTTGCCTCAGCCACGAACTTGCCCATGAAACCTGTTGCTCCTATAATCAGGACTCGACCCTTGGTGGAGATTGGAATGGCTAGTGACACTGCCATGGTTTTTCCACTGCTTATCTGTTTCTAAAATTTTTCCAATTTGGGCATGCAATGGCAAACGGGGGCTAGCTAGTTTATATAGGACAATCAGTGTGCGTTACATTGTAGCTTCAAAAAGAATAGTTGTTGGGAGAGCTAAAAGTACTCTTCATCTACTCTTCAACGCATATGCAAGGCAAAGATTTTTTATTTTATTTTTTTTTACTTACTAAATAATTTAAGGAAATATAATTTCTCATGTTACCTGCGATAAAATATTTCATGTAACAGATAAAAAATAAATGAAATCCACTTGTTTTTTTTCTCTCTCTTCTTATTGATGGGTCTTTATCCATTCTTTTATGTATTGCATGAGACAAATTATTTCATAGAACATTAGAAATTATATTCCCATAATTTGAATGCACAAAGTTTTAATTACCAAAATAAATAAATGGAAATTTTAATTATTGAAGTTTAGGTCATACTATGTAGGTGATTGATGGGTTTTTTTTTAAGATTTTCTTCTCCTTAAAAGAAGGAGTTTAGGCAAACATATTTTTTATTATCATAAAAGCTTTTTACTTGGATCTATTGTTTTGTTCAGAGGCCTTTCAGTCCCACCATTCTTTTGGGCACAATTCGTTTACCAATTGTGCCACCTCTTCAAAGTTATCTAAATTTTAAAATTTTCATATCTAAAATATTTGTCTTTTATTTCTTATTATTATATTTGTGTTTATCTAATAATAGAGGTTTCTTATATCCTTTATAATAATGTTAATTAGAAACATAACTTATGGAAATAATTTTACTAGCTTGAGTTTTAAAATAACTTTTAATTTAAAATTTTTATATAATTATAAAATAAACGGCTCGTTATAAAATAGGGAGAAACTATAAATTTTTAAATGGGTTGCTATGCCTTAGAATTTTAGAAGAGGGGGGCAGATTTAACTTGCTTATCTAAAGAAATATGTACACTATATGTATAAATAAATAAATGAATTAAAAAAAAAAAGAGTTCGAGAATTCGGTGTCGTTAAAACTTAAAATCAAACCCTACGAGGTGCGATCGATGTTAAACCTAATTTTGGATGTTTTAATAAAATATTTAGAAGTGAGATTGTTATCATATTTATTATTTATTTTAATAAATTTAATTTAACCCATTAAATTAATATTCCGATAAAATCGACAATCTGTTTGAATTTAATAACATTTTTCACGTTACTGCCTCCGCCTCACCCTAATTATTACGCATAAGAAATAATTCAGTTCGGAAGTTTTGCCTGGAATCGGTTATTTGGGAAGGGTTATCCGTCCTTGTACGGAGTCAGTCTATTTGAGTTTATTTAGAGCGTTTGGTTGAAGAGAAATTTTTTGAATACTAGAAAAATAGAATTGATAGAGAAAGTGAGATAAAGTGAGATAGATAGAAAAATGTTAAAAAAATAGTTTTGTAGGGAAAAAATTTACTGGAAAAATTAAGTAATTTTTAAGAAATGTATGTTTGGTTGAAAGTAATATATAGTGAAAAATTTGAGTGAACAATGAGATTACCCAACTTTTTAACAAAAACCCACCTCCCAAAACGCTTTCTCAACAGTAAATAAACCTATCATTCCGTTCCAAAATCTAAAAATTCATGCAAATTGGATGAATACCTTTCTCACTAAATCACCCTAAACCAAACATCTCATTTCAAGAATCCTTCTTACATTTGCATAGGTTTCTTTTAAAAAGCGGCGAGCCAAACACCTCCTTAGAGTATTAATTAACTTGGATTTGTATTTTGTCCTTATTTTATAGAAAAATAATTATCTTATATTGTATGAGATAATTATTTTGTGTAATAAAGACAAAGTAATGAGATTCATTATTTTTATTTTTAAATAATGAATCCTATTATTTTATCTTTGTTATTTTATTTTATATTGTTGATTTATTTCGTTATTTCCTTTTCCTTCGTTCTTAAGATTCGTCTCATATTTCTTATTTTCTTCTTTCCCTGACGAGGAGAAAAGGTGACATATGCACTTACATATTGTGCGTAATTACATCACATCACACTATTGCAGAGTTGACTGTGAGATAAAGGTCCTCAAACGCATTGTACTGACCAGCTTTGTTTTGGCGCTACAGCAGTCAAAATATTAAATGGGCAGGAGGAAAGAGATAGAGAAAAGAATATGAGAAGATAGAAAGAAAAAAAAAAAAAATCCGAGTGTCCCATGCTGAATAGGAGGTGTATTTATTACAATTTATGTTATTTTACTCTCATAAAGAGGTGAGATTTATATCTTTATTTTTTTATCAATTCTCTCTTCTTTTATCTATCTCTTTCTCTCTCTTAAAATGACACAGTTTTATATCTTTTAAAATAATGCACATTTTTCCCATTTTTAAATTCAAATTTGTGTGTAGCGTTTTGCACTTATGCGGTGTATCTTGATTCTTGACAGAGTATGTGTCAATTGTTGTTGAATATTGTTGGAAACAAAATTACAATGATAGAGAGAGATTAGAGATGGAGATGACTTTAAAGATGGAGAGCAGAGAGTTTTGGGAGAGAAGATTCAGAGCATAGACATTAAAGAGAGACTTGAAATATTTTATTCTTCTTTTCTATGTGCTTAACAAGCTAATAATTTACAGAATTACAACTTCAATAAAGAGAGAAAAATCTTATTTTGAATTTAAAATTAATAATACTTATAAAATAACTCTAGTAAGATAATTTAAACATCAAAGATAAAGATAAACTAATTTAAAAATAAATATTTAGAATAAAGGAATAATGATAAATTTTTTATCACTACTGCAAATATATATTTTTTATTATTATTCTTCAAGTCCTCTAAGCATTTCAGTCTTTTTTTGTCGTTTGGAGACGTTTCACATCAATACGAATAACGACAACTTTTTCTGAAATGCCCCGTACGTAGAGGTAACTGGCTTGCCGCGTCTCGTCTCATTTTTGGTGGTGGAGAAAAGTTTTGGTATAATTTTTTTCTTAGAAATAAATTAATTCAAATTATTTTTTTGTGGCGAATTGACTTTCTTATTTTCATAAATTTTGATTTTTTGAATTGATTATAAGACAAGTCCGAAATAATAAGCGAATCAATAACGAAGATATTTAAATCCTCTTCAAAATTGACAAGTGAAAATCGAATCGAGATTCTTTTCTTTTCACTCACTCAGTTTGCTTGCTACCAACTGCACTATCATATATTAGATTTTTTTTATTTTATTCTGATAAACAAAAAATTATAATTTTGGTATGAATTTAAAAGACTTAAATATAAATCTATTCGTATGAATTACGATAAATTATAATTTTGATCACTCTTTAATTTGAGTTTAATTTTTTATATTTTTTATTTACTTCGTTATTTTCCTTTCCTTCGTTCTTAAGATTCATTTTTATCTTTCTTATTTCGTTCTTTCATTTTCAATGCCAAAATAGTTTCCAAGACATGTAAAGAATAAATTGACGTAAAGAAGAAAACAAAGAGGAAAATGAAAGGTATAGAAAATTACAACCTATATCCATTCCATGAGCACATTCTTTTATTTTTTATTTTAGATACAAGGACATCGCAATGACCCAATTGCAAGAGCGGAGCTCTACCAACTGAGCTATATCCCCCCGAGTTCCAAGACATGTAAAGAATAGATTGACGTAAAGAAAAAAACAAAGAAGAAAATGAAGGGTATAGAAAATTACAACCTATATATCCATTACATGAGCACATTTTTTTATTTTTTATTTTGGATACAAGGACATCGCAACAACCCAATTGCAAGAGCGGAGCTCTACCAACTGAGCTATATCCCTCCGAATCAAGTGGAGCATGCATGAAGGAGTCAAATCAGTCTTCTATTCTTTTCCTTGGCGAAGCTGAGCCATCCTGGACTTGAACCAGAGACCTCGCCCGTGAGGAGGGGATCCACATTCAACCTCCTTCAGTCACCTTGTTCTCCGAGTACGGCCCGAAGACTAGCTCTTAATTGAAACAGCAGGTGCATTGAGTTTCGCTATCGGGGGAAGGAAGCTTGAGACAGGATTTGAATCCCTGACCCATACAAATTCTTCGAAGCTCAGTTGCCAACTGAGCTACTCTTGGGGGTTACTATTTTTCATATTTGATAAAAGATGTACCAAATATTCGATATATTTGTAGTATCGAAAATATTTTCCCATTACATCACATTATCATATGGTTGACTATGAGATAATCATTTCTAAAATATTTTATTTTATTTTTGAGGCGAGTTGACTTTCCCTAAAATTCCACAAGTTTTATCTCTTTGAACCCGACTATAAGACTAATATCGAGTAAAGAATTAGTTATAATTAAAACTCTACCCAAAGATTATATGATGCATTGTAATTAGTGGGAGATATATATGGGCCTATTTGATTATGACTTGATTTTTTTGTTTTTAAAACAATTTTATAGAGTAGTTAATAAAATAGGTTTTTTTATATTTTTTAATTTTAAAGATTAAAAACCAAAACAGAAAATAAAAATAATTCAGATATATTCTCTAAATTTAATTATAAAATTAAAAAATAGTTATAATTTTTATAATTATTTTTACATAACAGGATTTATCAAACAATTTTTTTTTTATTTAAAAAAAATAAAAAAAAATTGAAAACAGAAATGAAACAAGCCCATATATTACTCACAAAAATTGAATGCAAAACCAATACAACTAGATTCCCATTTTGGATAGATGTACAGGACAAAAAAAAAAAACCATGGAAAGGTCGTAGTCCTTATTTGTAAAGCAATTTCTTTGGGAGTGACACGTTGCACTGTAGATCCGTATCTCAGTCTGCTCAATTGACAATATGTGTCCAACACAAACCACAACATATATACCCCACCCCAGCACACTGCGCTCACTGTCACTTCCACACTATCATCTCATTTTCTGTCATTACTACCTCTTTCAATTATCACCTAACATCGTCCATATTTTCTTGCTTTAGATTTTAACAGACTTTAGTATGTTTTTGTTCGTGTAAATACGATTAAATTCA